TTGTCAGGAGAAGGTTCTTATCAAAGAAAATATAAGAAAAGTAGAGGGGAAGATTAGGAAAAAGTGACCCTTTGATAGCGAGATAGTTAGACCCGTGCGAAGCGGGGGCGGGATACTAGTATCTATACTAATATTATAAAGAGGTAAAATTTGTAAGACTGTATGTAGGGGGTAATCTTTGGAACCGCTGGTCGGATTGCCAAAATTTGGCGATTGGCGTGGTGGCTGGGCAATTGGCTGCCGTGCAACGTGTCGCGGGTTCGATTCCCGTACGGAACAACTCTTTGTGTGATTTAAAAATTGTTGTTCCGGGTCTGGGAGTGATGTGCATGTGGAATTCTATGTTTGTAAACGCACCCACGACACGGGAGAAAATCCTAATGTTGGGCAACGTTTTTTTTTTTTAAAAAAAAAACTGTTTGATAGCTACAATGTTCCTGAGTGCAATGTTCCTGTTCCTATAAAACATCACGCTACGATTAAATGAAGCCGAGCAGCGGGTGAAACCACGTGAGAATAGCTAGTAGCGTATAAAACATACCAGAAATGACCTTGTTCCTTTTAATTATCGACCCAGCACAAAACTCTTTGCCTTCGTTCCACTGCGGAGAGCGGATAGCCACATGCCAGGGGGGTACAGTGGCTACCTCATCCATAACACCACAGTCTGAAATAAAACGATACAATTTCATGTATATTTCGCAGTCAGTTAGCATTTAATCAACGGCCTGGGTGACTAGCTGTTTGATTGAATGACTGGATTTCTTTTTTAGTGCAATTTTGGTATCTGTTTACTTGTGAAAGTGGTAAAACACATAATTTCATGTATATTTCGCAGTCAACTAGCTTAATTAGCCATTTAATCAACGGCCTGATAGTCCCGGACGAGTGTACCGTGTACAGTGTTCCCAGCCTGGAGCAGGAGTAGGAACAAGGTGGGTTTTAGTCAGTAAGAGTCTGACATTCCCCCTCGCCCGACCCGAAGCGAGAGAAGGATTTAGATGATTTTAACATATCGTACAATACCGCCAACGTATCTGAGCGAGTCTGAAGTTAGCCGATTATTGAAATTATCCTGAAAGAATTTTCACTGGAATATGATTCAGAATAAGGAACTGAATGCACCCTGTTAATTTGTGGAGGGCTGTCCCTTACACCCTGTATGTAGCGTCAATCTGTCGGTCAGTCCTCTTAGTGAAGCTATTTGCTCGTTCCAAAGTGAAGATTCCGATGGAGAAGAACGAGCAGGAAACTCCATGGTTACTCTTTTTAAATCAGTTTCACATACAGATTCCTTATACAAACAGTTGGTTCAATTCTGTTTTGTGCTTATGTATTGTAGCTGTGTTCCAGAGCCGTGGTCTCCTGGTTTTCTGGTCGAGCCGGCCCATTCGTGCCAAAACATGGCTCTACCAATTTTGCAATCAAACTCAATTGAAAGAAAGAAAGAAGAAAGAAAACTGTTTTTATTCGGAATGACACATGAAGGCCAAGAACAAACAAACAAAATATACAACAATAAAAAGTTTGAATAACAGGACAACAAAATAAAATTAATCAAAACAATAACGTTAAAACAGCCTAACAAAGTCACAATAATACAACCCTGGGTTGGCGGACATGCCCATCAATCCGAATGGGTCGCCAACTCAGCAAAAACTGGGCACAGAGCGCCCAACACTGATTTTCAGTTGGCACCCCTGCAGTGACACACGGACGAATGCAACACATACTATCTACTAGTACGGATCTTTATCTGCATTATGACAAAATATTAGTTTTAGGACTTGCGGGTTCTAATCATCAATTGAATGTTTTAGTTCTCTCGGTAGACTACAATTTAGGTAAATGTTATTTGGTGCATAGCACTTATACTTACTTGTACATTCAGGGACTTCTCCGAACCACTCTCCTTGGACACAAATGATCGTCGGGTTGCCCACTATGTCATATCCAGGGGAACAGGTGATGTTCAGCACTGCATACTGCAGGATATCTCCAGGTCTGGCTGAGGGGAAGCCGGTCACTTCGTAATTCCCGTTATCAGGATTTGGAGGTAGGGTACAGCTATTAAATCATATCATTACATCACCCACTGCTGAGTAAAGACCTCTTGTCGGAGAAGATTTGAGCATTTATCACCCTCCTTGTTCAAGGCGGATTGGCGCTGTTAAAGATATAATTAGATATTGCAAGTCAAGAACCAGAATGTTTTCCTTCGTCGAATAACAGTGGTGTCTGAATAATCTTCGCTTGTCAAATTTTGAAACCACACCTCCACTTCTGAATGTTAGAACCTTGTCCTTGTGAGAAGAGGTCTTTGCTCAGCCACGGATGGAGCTTACTAGGTCTGGTGTTCAGCCGAGGACGCTACGGATCGTACGCTCGAGTCTGGTTCTGATCGGACGGCGACCTACCCTTACTCGCTGTCCGCAGACCACGCTTACGGTGGCCGGACATCGTCTACTGTACTGTGTACTCCACGACGCCCGGAGTGTCGCCTGCTGCGGCGCCTGGGGCGTGAAGAAGAGGAAAGCTCCCTCACGCGCTCTGTCACTTTCGGCTTTTAAATTTGGCCAGTATATTAAGGTTGTTTGTACTTCTGCTTACCTTCTAAGTGTCTTGCTGTGCGTATTGTTTATTACTGGAAAAAAATAAATATCAAATATACAGATCTAATATTATAAAGAGGTAAAATTTGTTTGTATGTAGGGGGTAATCTTTGGAACCGCTGGTCGGATTGCCAAAATTCTTTCACTGATAAATGGCTACAATGTTCCTGAGCGCTATAGTCCATAAAAAACCGAGAGTAGATAGTATACAGGGTGTAAAAAGACACTTAACGAAGCCGTTAACTACGCATACTGTAGTTCTAACTAAGTAGCTTTACAATAACTATCGTGAGACATACTAAATTAACTAAAATTCGCGGGTTACTCACGTGTAAATGTTGAGAAAAAGTAGGCTGCGCGACGTCGCCACGTCCGCGCACGCTGCTCATGAGGAAGAACCCCTCTGTGGTTCGAAACTAGTAGAGCTTTTCTCAACATTTACACGTGAGTAACCCGCGAATTTTAGTTAATTAAGTAGCTTTACGCTAAAATTATTACTGGAAAACGACTTTTATTTTTAGGTATCAAAAAATAAAATTTTATTGCGCGCAATGTAAAGCAAACGGGCTTCGTGTCATTGTGTGCGAAGGTTCACAGCTTAGCATTAAAACGCTGTGATAAGTACGTAGGTCGACGTTTTACTTCGCAACAACAAAAACCGATTTTTACTGCATTTGTATAATATGAATAAATACAGTAAACAAAATAACACTTTACAATCCTGTGGTTTGTTCCAGATAATATTTTGGTTGGGTGCACCGATTTTTTTGGCATTCGCCCAGGTTGGGGCGGGAGGGAGTGTCAGACTCTTACTGATTAAAAACACCTCTCTTTTCTCGCTCTGGGCCCAGTCCGCGGTGCCATGGCTGAGCATCAGCCCTAGGGCCCCGTCTCTGGCGGTCTACTGGCTCTTTGAGCTTTCGACTCGTACGATTTCGGATTAAATCAAAAATGAAAATGCAATTTTTTGTTTATTAATATTTTTATTTACAAATATTCTTGTATAAACAGTTGGTGTGTAAGTATGTGTGTGAAGCTAGTAATTGTATTATTAGTACAGTAATTGGTAGCGTGGAAGGCAGTCGAAGCCACGCCGCGCAAGTAGTAGCGGAATGAGCCTCGATCCCGAGTAGGAAACGTAATACCAACGCCACTATCCCGAAGACAGAGAGCTATGCCTGAAATCGAACATCGATTTAAATAATTTTACTAGCTGTTGCCCGCGACTCCGTTCGCGTGGAATAGTATCTTCCTGCAGATTTTTAGTATAAAAACTATCCTATGACCTTTCTCGAATTTCAAACTATGTCTGTACCAATTTTTACAAATCAAATCAAATCAAATTTATTTGTAAAACATAGTTATTAAAAAAGAAATCAGTTAAGTAGTTTAGGCGTGAAGAAAAGACAGACAGACAGACAGACAGAAAAAACAGAGTTACTTTCGAATTTATAATATTAGTTTGGATTGTACCTACATAAAAAATATTTTGTTTTGTATTTTTAACATGAATACACAATTATATTAAATAAATAGACAAAGAATTTAAGAAATCGGATTTAAAGTAGAAAAGCGCGCGAAACAGTTTTCTCTCTGACAACCCCAGCCTAGACATGCGCGTGTTAAAGTGGCGTAGGATTAGTGTTGCCAACCTTCGCTTAGTAGGATTTTAATTCTATCAATATACATGATATGATACCTCGGAAAACGAGCAGATTACGGATTACCTGGTGGTAAGCAATCAGCGCCGCCCTTGGACACTCGAAACAGAGGAGTTACGAGTGCGTTGCCGACCTTTTCAGGATTAGGGATTTGGAAAATGGAAAGATTGGGCCTCCGGTAACCTCACTCACACCGGTTTACGCCGGTTTTCTGTGAGGCCGTGGTATCACTCCGGTCGATGCGACCCATTCATGCCGAAGCATGGCTCTCCCACAATTGTGATTTTTTTATGATGTTAGAAATTAACACCACATATGAATCATACAAAACAGAATGGTTAAAGTATTTGTAAGAAATGATATAATGTGTGGGAGATTTTTAAGTGTGGGAGAGCCATGCTTCGGCACGAATGGGTCGACTAGAGCTGAGTGATACCACGACCTCACAGGAAACCGACGTGGAACAAACATAGCGTGTTAATTCGCCGTGTGAGTGAGGTTACCAGAGGCCCAATCCCTGCCCTGCAAAAGGATTGGGAAGGGATGGGGGTAGCCCATCCCTTCCCAATCCTTTAATAACCAAAACCCTTATCCCTAAAACGACGGCAACGCACTAGTAATTCCTCTGTTGTTGCGGGTGTCCACGGCGCCGATTGCTTACCATCAGGTAATCCGTCTACTCCTTTCATAAAAGGATAAAAAGTTAAAGACAATTTTCGGGTGCTCCTTATATACCATTCTTATATCCAGCGCAGAATTTGTCGCCAGTTATGTAAGCTTTGTATTTTTCTGCTATGTCCGTCAAACAGTCTGCCACGGAAACGTACGGCATATCTGCAACGCGAAGTACTTCGGAGAATAGTCCTTGCTCTGTCACACCCCAACCTGCTACCTGCGAGAGAGAAAGGGACAGAAAGAAACACTCACTAAATCCATTTTTCCCAATATGCTTTAGTATTACTGAGCAAAGGCCTCTTTTACGCGAAAAAGGTTTGAGCATCAATCACCACGCTAACTCAAGATTTCTTAAATAATATGAACTTAGTACAAGTTTCTACTCTAAATAATCTTAAATTTTATTAATATATAAGAAATATTTTAAAGAAAATACAAAAACCACAGCGTTTAATTTCGCAGTGTGAGTGAGTTTAACGAAGGCCCAATCTTTTCCCTCCTTATCCCCAAAAGGCCGGCAACGCACTCGTGACTTTAGCGGCACCAACCGCTTACCATCAGGTAATCCGCCTGCTCCTTCACCGTCATTTCATACAACAAAAAAACAATAATCATTATTTAAAGTGTAAGGCATATAAAATTAATTAATTCTATGTAATAAATGGTTTACTCACGAAACTCTTTGGCAAAATAACACGACTAGTTTTAAGGCACGCAAGGGGCTATACATGAGTAGAATAGCGTGACACGACTCAACCAACCGCAAACGTCGCGTCACTATAATTATGAGCCCCGGTATGACTTGAAACAAGTCGAGCATCCTCGAATTTTTCAAAAATAAACCAGTTGACTGCACATTAAAATCTTACAGTTATTGTAAGAAAGAAATACAAAATTTTTTGACTACCTTTCCAACACTAAAAACTTTCAGTTGCCGGGAATCGAACTCGTAATCGAAGTCTATACACACAGGCCTCACTTGTCGAGTGTACACCAAGTTTGTAACGAGGGTAAGCAAAGCTATATCGTCTTGGAAGTTGGTGGCAGCGCCCTGAAACCGATCCGGCACTCGTATCTCTCGAATCTAGAAGGAAAAAGAAAGAGAACCATTTGATCTGCACCAAGCACGATGCTCAAAAATAGTTATAAAAATAAAAAAGGAGAAAATGTGTGTAAAATAAGTGTGGGAGAGCCATGCTTCGGCACAATGAACAACACAGAAAACCGGCGTGAAATACTCATTCACCTACAAGAGATCGGCAACGCACTTGTAGCTTAACTCCTTTGATATTATGAGTGTCCATAACGGAAAAAAAATCGGCCGGCTCGACTGGAGTGATATCACGACCTCAAAGAAAACTGATGTGAAACAAATTCTGCGTGGTTTTTAGGCGTGTGCATGAGGTTCCTGGAAACTCAATCATCCTCCCCATCCATAAATATTGCTTGACGCACGTTTTCTGTGAGGCCGTGGTATCACTCCGGTCGAGCCGACCCATTGGTGCCGAAGCATCGCTCTCCCATGCTTCCTTTACAAGTTAAACAAGTTCAGAAGGTAAGATTCTTACATCAGATATTTGCACATTAGTATCGTTGGGATGGTCCCAGGTTCTATAAAGCTTGCCTGCAGCCACCACGTAGTTGGCAGGAGACAGGAGTTCACCACGTGACCAGAAACAATGAGCGGCTGGAACAGAGGTTGATAAATTTAATCTTCATTACTAGTTACTAGTATTATAAAGCTAAAGAATTATAATAGTGTAGCGACATCTATCGCACAACAGCACCAATCACGTGCAAGATTCTACATCGCGCAAGTGAAGTTTACGAGCTAATAAGCACCTATAGAAAAATCCCGACAACAACCGTCGGACAGTAGCCCACCAGACATAACACCCGTCTGGTCGGAGGATCCTCCCTTTTCAATGGAGGATGAGGAACTTACCACCCCGTTCTCTCATACCTCTAAAATAGGAAATTGCAAGCGACTCCGTTCGCGTGGTGTAGTGAATTCCTGCAGATTTTTGGTATAAAAACTATCCTATGTCCTTTCTCGAGTTCCAAACTATGACCGTACCAAATTTGCCAATAGACCACCACAGACGGGACCCTATAGGGCTGATGTTCAGCTGGGGTTGCGGGGTAAGCGCAATGAGGCACCGCGACCTCGGCCTGAAGCAGGAAAATGGACGGAGGTTTTTAGTCAGTAAGAGTCCGACACACCCTCTCGCCAGAGAAAGTCATTTGATAATGCTAACTGCACGGTTGGCGCGGTGGCTAGGCAATTGGCCGCCCCGCAATGTGTCGCGGGTACAACTCCCACACAGAACAACTGTTTGTGTGATCCACAAATTGTTGTTCCGGATCTGGGTGTGATGTGTATGTGAAATTGTATGTTTGTAAACGCAACGTCGACACAGGAGAAAATCCTAGAGTGGGGCAACCTTTTTTAAGAAGTGGATAGTTTTCACCCTTGAAAATAAATAGGGGTCTACCTGATAAAGCAATATTGTTCCTGATGATGGTGCCGCTACACCACTGCTCATGCATGGCTCCTTTATAGATAGCGACGTGCCACGGCAACTCGTTTCTCCTCGCTTCTCGTCTGGACCCCAGCAGTAAGGGATCAGCGGGGTCACCCAGCCTTCCACAATCTTTAACAATGTAACAGGTTATGCATAATCACGTTTTTTTATTCGTTTCTCCACAAACGAACGAGCTAACGAACATATGAAGGAATGAGCGAACGAGCGAAAGAACGAACGAGCAATTAATATATATGTCACCGGAAAATAACAAGATCCGTAAGTTTTTCATTTTACTAGGAAGTTTATAAACTTTCGTAAGATTCTAAACGGGGGATAAATTGTAATATTTTACGTACACATTTTCGTAAATTGATAAACTTACTGAACTCACTCGTAAAATAATAAGTAAGCAGTAACCAAACGCTATGCGCGATCTGATTGGTTGGCTGTCACGTGTCACTTCTCCTTCCTCGCGGCCGCCATTGCTGGCCACGGAACATAAACAAACCGGTTTGCTATTGAAACTGATAATAGAACACTCAACTCACTACATCCGTGCCAGAGAGGAACCAGGCATTGTTGCTTCCAATTCATAGTTTTTCAAGTCTGATTATTCCAAAGTCTATGGACACAAGCATTGCCACTATTAACATTGACCAATCAGAGAGCAGTGTGTTATTTTACGTATTTCAAAGATCGTATATTTAAAGGAGTTTCTGTGATTGGTCGAACCATATAAAATCTTACGAATAGATATTTGTTAGTTTATAAATTTACCGTATGACGTCGAAAATTGATAAATTTACGAAAATGTGGACGCAAAATATTACAATTTATCTCCCGTTTAGAATCTTACGAAAGTTTATAAACTTCCTAGTAAAAGGATAAACTTGCGGATCTTGTTATTTTCCGGTGACATGTACAACAAACGAAAACAACAAAAAATATTATAGATATTATTACTAGCGACTCGCCTAGTTATGCACTGATTTTAGTAAATTTGTTTACCATTGAATTGATGTTATTTATTATACATATAAACTTTTCTCTTCAATCACTCTATCTATTAAAGTGAACGTTGTGTTTCGCCGTGTGAGTGAGGTTACCGGAGGCCCAATCCTTCCCCACACCGAACCACTCCTCAATCCCTGATCCCCATAAGGTCGGCAAAGCACTCGTAACTCCTATGTTGTTTCGGGTGGGTAGGTTTTCGGGTTTCAATGGGCGGCGCTGATTGCTTACCATAAGGTTATTCATATGCACGGTGATAAATGCGATAGAGAATATATAGAGAGGTTACATCCCTACGCAGTGCCAAAGAGTCCAGCCGGTCCGAGACAACAGGGCAGTCAACAATTCTGACAGGTCGTCGTCGAATGCGGTCCAGAAGGAGAAGCTGGTGTAGGGTGCCCCCGCCCAAAGATGAGAACCGTATTCCACATGGGGCCGAACTTGCGCCTTGTAGAGTAGCAGGCAATGCCCTGAGGTGAAATACTGCCTCGATCTATTGAGCACACCAAGCTTCTTCGAGGCTAACTTGGCCTTACCCTCTAAATGACCGCGGAACTGGACTTCGCTCGATATGTCGACGCCAAGTATCCCAATACTGAGGGGGCTGCTCTGAAATTGAGGAGATACGACCAACGGCAGTTTTTTAGCTGTGAAGTCGCAGGTCTTTGTAGGGTTAAATTGTTTTCCTTCACCGTCTGTCCGTGGTGTAAATAATAATAGAATGTACATATAGAACTCGGAAAAAATCACATTGGTACTTGGTGTTTTGACCTTAATGCATGAGAAGCGGGCGCCTTAAGCTCCGCGCCACCAAGACATTTTATTATTACCTTTTATACATCGACTGTGAATCTGTTAACCTACCTGGTACACAAGTAACTGTATGGTCCCAGGTCCCAATCTCACAACGCATGGGTAGTAAATCCACTGGACTATAGTAGACTGGTTGACGGCAGCGAGGATAAACGGTGGTGCCATCTGGTATTTGTTCCTGGCAATCTTCAGTAGGGACCAGGGTCTCGTCATCGGATGAAGAGCATTTGTACTCGATGCTGTGATGTTTTGGGAGGTTGCAGTAACCTGATAAACAAAAAGGAATGATCAAGTCCTCAGATAACCTGCGTTAAATTTTCTGATGTGGACAGATATGTGAGATCTCCCATAAATCTCTGACGATCCCCAAATCCCAAAACCAATCTATGGCTAGCAATGCTCCAGGATCAACTTTGTTCTTTATTTTTTTTAAACTAGACGATGCTCCAACCTAGTATTTTCTCCTGTACCGTGGGTGCGTTTAAAACATACAATTTCACATACACATAACACCCAGATCCGGAACAACATTTTGTGGAGCACACAAAGAATTGTTCCTTGCGTGATTGGAACCCGCGAAACGTTGCGCGGCAGCCAGTTGCCCAGCCACGGCGCCAACCGTGCAACTAATCTGGTGCTGCGACACCCGAATGTGGGAAAGCAATGCTTCGGCACGAATGATGGCTCGAACGGAGTAATACCACGGCCTTACAAACAACCGCAGCGTTTTATTTCGTTGTGTGAATGAGGTTACCGGAGGCCCAATTCTTTCCCTCTTAAATACCCTAAATCACCTAACCCCTAATCTCCAATAGGTCGACAACGCACTCGTAACTCTTCCGTTGTTGCGTTGTCCATTGGCGATGCTGATTGCTTACCTTCAGTTAATCCATCAGCTCATTTGCCGTTCTATCACAGAAGAAAAACTTGTAGCTCGTTTTATCCAAAACATTAAAAAAAAAGTCCAAGAACACTTTCCCCGCCCTAAAAATTTTTAGGTCAAGCAATCAACGAAGCTGCTGAACTTTCTCAGGAGTTATTTCTATGGTATACTTACGTAATTGTCGTGGTGGCCCGGAGGTTAAGGAGCCCGCTTCTCATGCTAGAGGGTGTGGGTTCGAAATCTGGCAAGTACCAATGTGACTTTTTCCAAGTTATATGTACTTTCTATGATTATTTAGACACCACAAACATACAGTGAAGGTAAATATCGTAAGGAATCCTGGACTTATAATTTCTAATTATAAGTTTGAAATCGCCAACCCGCATTAAGCAAGCGTGGTGATTAATGCTCTAACCTTCTCCCTATGAGAAGAGGCCATTGCTCAGCAGTGGGCACTTATAGGCTGATGATGATACTTACGTAAACACTCAGGAAAGTCCTGTGACCATTGACCCCTATAGCAGAACAGTGTGCTAGACCCCACAATGATATATTGGGGGTCACAGGAGTACTTCAACACGACAGTCGGTAACATTTGACCTGGCACGCCAGTGGCGTTGCCCCCTAAGATGTATCTACCATTTTCTGGATAGGCGGGAAGAATGCAAATTGGCCTGGAATAAAAAAATATAAAAAATAATAATATTTAACTGTTTATAAAAAGAAGAACTGCTGATGCTGCTTCGTAAGCGGCTTAGGTAAGTGACTAAAACTCAATATACAATACCTAAAACATTTCCTGTAAATTGTCAAAATAAATAATTCCAATTAAATCATTAACAGGCACTTTGGAAACGTGGTGAAAGTATGGGAGAACCATGCTTCGGCACGAATGGGTCGGCTCGACCGGAGTGATACCTCGGTCTCGCAGTACCGACGTGAGGTTACCGGAGGCCCAATCCTTCCCATCCCCCGATCCCTCCCAATCCCTAAATCTCCAAAACCCTAATCCCTGAATGGTCGGCAACGCACTCGTTACTCCTCCGTTGCGGGTGTCCATGGGCGGCGCTGATTACTTACCATCACGTAATCCGTCTGCTTTGCCGACATATTCCATAAAAAAAAAGAGTCGGAGGAGGCATTCAATTATATTGTTGCTCAAACAAAACCTGAACTCGCAGGCGTAAGAAAGATATACCTACCTAGGAGTAGTGGCTGGTAATATCCGATCACAAAGGTCCTGCATCTCATCAGAACCGTCTGCGCAGTCCTGGACCTGCAAGTATTAATTTCAAAATGATATTGTCTGTTCATAGGTTAGTCAGTGAAGTTCAAGCGGCAAAAAAAAATACTTTAAACATCATCATCATCATCATCAGCCGGAAGACGTCCATTGCTGGACAAAGGCCTCTCTCCTGGAATCCTCCAAGCCGAACGAGAACTCACCATTGCATCCATTGGCTCCCCGCGACTCTTGGAAAAACTATTTGCAATAAATAATGTAGTTAGAGCGTAAGGACGTATGAGACTTTTCCGAGCTTTTCGTTTATACGTTATTAACGTTCTGGCAGTTTGAGTATTTACGCGACCCACTCAAATATTCTTTTGATCGGTATTGTTCGTCGGACAACTCAGCAACACCTGTTAGTTGAACTAGTTGTAAAATGACACTTGCGTGCCTTTTTTCAAACCGGGTCTACTTAAACTGGTGTGGTTCTTTCCTGAAAAGACCACAGCAGAACACGCATATTTATATTTTTTTTACATTGTCCGAACTTTAAAAGCGTCTGACCTGGGAAGTGTAGCAGGGCCATGCTTCGGACATATGAGTAGGCTCGACCGAAGTGAAACCACGACCTCACAGAAAACTGGAATGAAACAACCACAGCGTTTTGTTTTGCCGTGTGAGTGAGGGACCCAATCCTTCCCCTCTTCCAATCCCAAAACCTCCAAATCGCTAATCCCCAGAAGGTCGTTAACGCACTCGTTTTTTCTCCGTTATTGCTGGTGTCCATGGGCAGTTCCCAATGCTTACCATCAGATAATCCGTCGCATGGTTTGCCATCCAATCCTACGAGCACTTTTCTAACCTATTAGATACCGGTTCTTCGACCTATTTTGTACATAATAAGTTCAAACAAAACTCACACCATCGCAAGCGGCTCTTGGATGCGCACAGCCTCCATATGCGCATCTAAACAGCGGCGGCACGCACTCCGCCTCAGCACACCTTGCCACCGTCTCATCAGAACCATCCGCACAGTCCACATGGCCATCACACCTTGTCGGCTCCTTTAACACCTGGCCATCATCACACGTTTGCCTTAAGCTCCTACAGTCAACTGCTCTGGAAAATTGGCGTTCTTCTAGTATGCGTTCTTCACAGCTGGAGGAAAAGAATCATCATCATCAGCTGATCAGATTCCAAGGCTAGATTATGGGTGTCTTCGACAAAAGAGCGGTTTGAGGTAATCTCCATGCTTGCAAAGGAGGTTGGAGTATTAAGAAATGAAGATATATAGCAGGATAATTGGTTGGTGGTTATTGGCTATGTGCAAAGCGAGTAGTGGTGGACAGATAACAACCGCAGCGCACCACACCAACAACAGCAAAAGCTAGTTAGGTATATATAAATACCGCAACCTCATGTAGGTTTAAGTGTGGGAGCATGCTTCGGCACGAATGCGTCGGCTCGACCGGTGTGATACCACGGCCTCACAGAAAACCGGCGTGAAACAACCACAGCATTGTGTTTCGCCGTGTGATGTGTGGTTACCGGAGACCCAATCCTTCCCCTCCCCTAATCCCTCCTCAATCCCTAAATCTCCAAATCCCTAATCCCTAAAAGGTCGGCAACGCACTCGTAACTCATCCGTTGCGAGTGTCCATGGGCGGCGCTGATTGCTTACCATCAGGTAATCCGTCTGCTCGTTTGCCGATCTATTACCTACATAAAAAAGTACTTTAAAACTTACATGTGGAAGTCCTTGAAATCATTTCTGCACAGTGGAACGAGCTCGTCGGAGTTGTCAGCACAGTCTTGCTTCTCGTCGCATCGAAGCTGTAAGTCAATGCACGCGCCGTACGTACAATGAAACTCGTCGATATCGCATCTACAACGAAATAGCTTCGAATAACAATTTGGCTTTTTGAGCAGACGGATTACCAGGGACCCGAGTCTACTATTTTCAAAGTGTCGTCATTCCTACACGATTCGATTGTCATTTTGCTAAAAGTTCGTAATCTGTTAATTCAAAATGGCTGATCATTGGCGTTCGGCGATGTCGTAATAGAATTATAGTACGAGATGTCTTGTAACAAATTATAAACAATAACTGCACATCATTATTCTAAACGTAAATCATTGAATAAAGAAACTGACATTTTTTTATTAATTTACCGCATTATGTCAAATATTCATTTGTAATTATGTACGAGATTACCGTTCTAAAAAATTATTTCAATGAAGTGGCATTGGAAAGTCATAATGACGCAATCGTGTTAGTAGATTACCAAACTTGTCAAAATCAACAATTTTAAAACCAATGATCTACTATTCTGACACTATTGTAATAGCAGACTGGAGGCCCTGATGGTAAGCTGTCAGCACCGCCCATGGACATTCATAATGTTAAAGGAGTTACTACAAGTGCGTTACCGATCTTTTGTGAGTTATTAGGGATATTTAATAAATAAACTAATTATTAAATTATGATTATAATGATAGGGAATTTGATTTGTTGTTGTTGTCGATTGGGCTATTTCTTGAGTAACCATGGAGTTTCCTGCTCGTTCTTCTCCATAGGAATCTACACTTTACAACGAGTAATTAGCTTCACTAGAGGACTTTTTTTGCTTGACGTTCAAAAGTGCCTACTGTGGTCTGTGGTAATTGAAATAAATGATTTTGACTTTGACTTTGGGAAGGATTGGGCCTAGGATAAACTCACTCACACGATGAAAGAAAGCTGTGGCTGTTTAACGCCGGTATCACGTTATCGTCAAGTATGGAAGAGCTTCAGCACGAATAGGTCGGTCCGACCGGATTTATATGTCGTCCTCACTGAAAACCTGCGTCAAACAACTACAGTGTTTCGCCATGTGAGTGAGGTTACCGGAGGCCCAATCCTTAACCTCCCCAATCCCAAAATCTCCAGTTCCCTAATCCCCAAAAGGTTTACAATGCACTCGTAACTCCTCCGTTGTTGCCTTATGTCTATGGTGTCCATGGGCGGCCCTGATTACTTTACATCAGGTAATTCGTTTGCTCATTTACCGACGCTACACATAAAAAAAACACTCCGGTCGAGCCGAACCACTTGGCTCTCCCACACTTGACCTCCCTTATTCACAGGGATAGCTTTCTGACCACGGTATCATAAAACACACAATCGGCCGTCTTAATCCTTCCCCACCCTTACTCAATCCCCAAATCTCCCTTCCGACCTAACCCTCAGAGGGCCGACAACTCCTATGGTGAGACGACATGGAATTGGACGGCAAATAAGGCGATGGATCTCTTGAAGGGTCACTCCAGAAGATTTTCACCCTAGGACAGTGAGACGGATCTCCTGAATGGTCAATCCCAATAGCAACGCCACATACACACACTCATCAACAAAACCGACACCTTCGCCCTCACTCAACTTCTCGCCAACCATGGCTATCATAAATAATACCTATACCGCTTCCTTATCACCAACGATGACACATGCCCCTGTGACGGCACCTCAATACAGACATTCCTGCACCTCTTAACACCCGCTTTACACACGAACAACTATATCACCATCACCAAATCGACCCATACAATCTTGAACAGATCACTTCCGAAGAACACACCACAAACACCTTAATGACACACGTCACATACATCGTAAATAACCTCAAAAATTTCGAAAACACTTAAACTACACTCATACATGCTAGCACGTACACATTACACACATCAACATTTGAAGTGTGGGAGAGCCATGCTTCAGCACGAATGGGTCGGCTCGACCGGAGTGATACCACGGTCTCACAGAAAACCGGCGTGAAACAACCACAGCGTTGTGTTTCGCCGTGTGAGTGAGGTTACCGGAGCCCCAATTCTTCCCCTTCCCGGACCCTTCCCCAATCCCTAAATCTCCAAATCCCTCATCCCTAAAAGGTCGGCAACGCACTCGTAACTCCTCCGTTGCGGGTGTCCATGGGCGGCGTTGATTGCTTACCATCAGGTAATCCGTCTGCTCGCTTGCCGACTTATTACATTAAAAAAAAAACATTAACACACTCAAACACAATCATTATTATTTTGTTTGTAAACAACCACCTTTTATGTTTATATCAGTCTCATAATTATGCCCCAATTCATCCCATATACAAATCTGTATCAAATAGCGGATAAGATTTGCGCATTGCGTCGCAATAAACTCCCTCTTGGGGCGGGTTTAACCCTGAGTGGAAAAAAAATTGCAACGCCAGAGGATTTACAACTTTTTTTTATGTGGCATTAGCAACAATGGCTCTTGCGAATCAGAGATGCGAAGAAGAATTGGGATGGCAAAAGGAGCCATGGCACAGCTTCAAAAAGTATGGAAGGACAAGAACATCTCGTTAAAAACAAAGAGCAATCTTGTGCGCACAGTGGTGTTCTCCATATTTTTGTATGGCGCAGAGACGTGGACCCTGAAGAAAGCCGATCGTGACCGCATTGATGCCTTCGAGATGTGGTGGTGGCGAAAAATGCTAGGGATTCCTTGGACGGCACACCGCACTAATGTATCGATCCTCCAGCTTAAGAGCTTAAGATCCAGACAAGGCTCTCTTCCATATGCCTCCGCAGGATTCTGGAGTTTTTTGGACACACTGCCAGAAGGGGTAATGATAACTTGGAAAAGTTACTAATCACTGGTAAGGTGGAAGGAAAGAGACCTAGAGGCAGAAGTCCGATACGCTGGACGGATCAGATTCGCACCACTCTCAACACTACAGTCCACGATAGATGAGAAATAGATGGCGGAGAGTAATACGCAGTACACTGCTTCCACGAGGTGGTCACGACCCTCAGCACTGAAGAAACCGACGCGAGGAGGAGGAGAGGATTTACAACCACTAGGGCCGTCGGGAGATTAAAAAAACAGACGTCTAAATAACTTACGTATTGTTTCTGCAGAGAGGAAATGTTTCATCGCTTCCGTCTGGACAGTCCACTTTACCATTGCATTGATTTTTCGATGGTAAGCACACACCATTCTTACAGCGGAACTCGTCTTTACTGAAAACATTTTGTTTTTATTGTTATTTAATAGGTCGGCAAACGAGCAGACGGATTACCTGATGGTAAGCAATCAGCGCCGCCCATGGACACTCGCAACGGAGAAGTTACGAGTGCGTTGCCGACCTTTTAGGGATTAGGGATTAGGGATTTGGAGATTTAGGGATTGGGGGAGGGGAAGGATTGGGCCTCCGGTAACCTCACTCACACGGCGAAACACAACGCTGTGGTTATTTAACGCCGGTTTTCTGTGAGGCCGTGGTATCACTCCGGTCGAGCCGACCCATTCGTGCCGAAGCATGGCTCTCCCACACTTAATTTTTTTCTTATTGTGCAGGCTTTTGGCCCCAACCAACCTAACAGCAAGCTACTTATATTATACCCTTCGGGAACCACAGACTCCGGCAAAGAATTCTAATCCTTAGCAGTTTCAATCATGAAATTTGGAGGCGAAGCGCTTCGTGTGTGGGATATCCACCTTAAAGCGATGACGTTTTGCCGATTGCCTGGTGGTACGTAGTGGTAAGGACTAGAATGGAAAAGGAATCAAGCGTGTAAGTAGGTACCTAATCCATCCTATACCTAATCCATCCTATTTTAACCCTATTCTTGGCACTGTATACAATTTAATACGTTGTTCTTTTAAAAAATCTAGGCACAAACTTAGAAATATTTTTAAAACTTTTATCATTATTAGCAACACTGAGAAAGCAGTAGAACCCAAGATAGCGAACAGAGCGAACGCGTCTACACATCGCAAGGTAAAAAAAAAAGATTTTAAATTGTATTTTGCAATAATTTTAACCGTAAGTGATATAATTTGAGTAGCTTAGAATATTTTACTAGTCGGTATTCTATTTTGACCGATCAAAATCGATTGTAAATATATTTTATTCACTGGTTTTTTCGAGTGTATCAGATGTGATACATTGCCAGATAACCAATATTATAGATATTTTTAACTATGAACCTAATATATGACATCGCCAGAGGTGTGAATAAGTATTTATATTTTAT